GTTGTCCAACAAAGTAAAAACCCTTACTTCAGTGATATTGCAGAAAAATGGCTTATGATATTCCTGAAGTGAAAATAACTAATTAAAAAAAAAAAAAAAAAAAGCAAACTGACAAATAGTGCTCCTTTGCTGTGACATTAATTCTGGGATCTGCAAATCAGACAGTGGTGATTCAAGGAATAATCAGAGAATTAAAAATGGGAACAAAACAAAAATGCTGATTCTTCTAATTGTTTTGTTGTTGGCTCCCACCATTATGCCATGGCTGCTGTTCTGATAACATGACAGATTTTTTTTGGCTCCTCTGATACTCTGTGCTTCACTTTGGCCTTATTTTGAGGTCCTCTGAGAATCTCTGGTCATAAAAAGCATAGGGAAAAGTAACTCCACTAACTGCTGAGATCGTAATGTTGCAAGAAATACTTCCCTTTGGCCTGGATTGTCTGCTTACAGTGCTATCTCAGGAAATATCTGGCTGCTAGGAAAAACTGGAGTTTTTTAGATAGGACAGAAGCATACTGGTGTCTCTAAAGAAAAATCTATATGCTGGAAGAGCAGCCTTTACTCAAATGATTTAGTAATTTCTCATTTCAATCCTTAAACATTTGCCTGTCTGCTTATTCTTTGTATGTATTTAATTCTTTTTAATTTTGTATTCTTTGTATATATTTAATTCTTGCTTTCAGAAGAATAATGGTGAAGAGAAAAATACTAAGTATACACTTACAAATCTGTTGTCTTTTTTTAAAAGGTATGGAGATGATGCTGGCAGTGCTACTGACAACGCTATGAGCTCTGCAATCAATGTTGGTGTTACAGCATTTAACATTGACCATATTGGTATCAAATCTATTGTAAAGAAAACTGCAAAGGAAACTGGCCATGCTGTGTTAGATGAATATAAAGTACTGGATAAGGAGAAAAAGGATAAAAAGTGAAAACAATGAAGTATTTCTCAAAGCCTTATACGAAACTTCTAAATATGAAGTAACCACACTGCTAATCTGTGATTTAATGCAAATCATACTGTGCTCTTCAAGCAACTGTTACTTAATTTGCCATGGGAAAATACAGAGTGGGCATTCTTAGAAGGAAAAATGAAAGTATCCTTAATTCCTCATCCTTTATTGATGCAGGATATGAGTTTTCATTAAATCAACTTGCATCTGTAAGCACTTTCTCAAAACATAATACGGAATAAGAGATTAATACAGAAATGTTATTATAAATGTTTTTGTAATACACTATATTTGTAAAGAAGGTGGTGATACTGAACAAATAGGATTACTAATTCTGATAGGAATAGGGTTACTAGTTGTTGTTTTTTTTTTTTTTAAACTATTCTTAAGTTAATTTCACTAAAGCAAACTTTGGTATTTAATATGGACCTAAATAAGTGTTTTGTCTCATTCTTTCCTTTGTAGAGAATTTCTCTTCTCAGCTACTAAGCAGCTAGTCTTATCCAAATTTCATTTTAGAAGAAATGAAAGATGAGCCTCAGGTAACTAGATAGTAATTTCTAGTTGGCAGACTCTTTTTTTTCCCTCAGCATATGAGCAAACCAAAGATTTTAAGTATTTATTCTAATAGCTCTAGCATTTACAGCTCTAGAAAAATGTATTTTCCAGGAGAGTCCATAAGGAATATTTGAAGATTCTATGAAATTGAGATTTTTATATAGATACAATGTCTGTTTTTGCATAAATGAACATATTTTTCTTTAAAAACATTCTACTGAGATCACTGGAAACTTCTATGCATTCTGTACTTTTCACCAGTCCAGAAAGATTCAGAATACCTGATTGAAGGCATTAGGTATTTGTTTCAGCAGGTAGTTCTAACTGTCAGCATCTTTATTCTACTGAATTCCTGGTTGCACAAGGGACATCTCCAAAGTGTATAACAAGCATTTCTACTTCGGAGATGTGTGTGGAATAGAATACTTTTATATGGCTTTCTTTTCCATTTTGTTCCTCGTGTAACTTATTCCTGTTTCAAATGTAGAACTCTTGAGATGCTTTTCTACTGCTACTTATTTAAAGGTTCATTATTGAGTTTTAAAGCTGCTATACATTCTAATCTTGGCTGGACCTGCAGAAACATGAATTTACAACTTGTCTCCATTTTATGTAATCGGAAAAAATAACTATAAATGGTTGTCAGAAAGTTATCACAGTTATAAAAAAAAAAAAGTTAGAATTGTAATAAGTGCACATTTTGTGATGGGTACTGTAGGTGTGCACTTGGAGTGAAAAAAATGTGAAACAAAGGAACTAACCACTTGAAGTGTAACTTTGATTTATGAAAATAAAAATAAAATTGGTCAAATGGTGCTTGGCCTTATGACATGAAGTTATTGTGAAGTGACTGGAAAAAAAAAAAGGACTTCTGAAGTAGTTTAAAAAAAAACAGTCTAGGAGTATGCCTACAATAGAAATATGCTCACCGATTAGAATTTAAAATATTTCAAATTTAAAAAGGCCCATCAGAAGCACATTATAACAATTTCTGTTACTATGGTCTATCACTTGCCAGCAAATGTAACTATTTTAAGGCAAATACAGGTTTTTTACTAGCCAAAAGGATTAGTTGTCATGAAACAGTTTTGCAACAGAAATGTTTGTATCTTCCTTCTCTCTATCATTTGGGTTTCATACATAGTACTTGCCCTTTAGTTCTACTGATAAACTATTAAAACCAACTCACTGTATTAAAACCAGCAGTTAAAAGTGAACTGTTACTGTCCTCAGGAGACCAACTTGTAGCACACTGAGCTGGAAAAGGATTGAAATACTATCAGTATTAGGCCAGGCATTGTTGTGCTGTTCAAACCACTCTGTTTTCTTCACATGTACTCAGCCTTCCAAATTTGTCTAAAAATTAAAGCTTTTTTTTTTTTAATTATGATGTATCCATGATCCATTATTACAAAGTTTAGTCACTCTCATTACTGAGTTGGTTGTGCTTTTGAACTTCTCCAGCTTCAGCTGTCTCTACTTAGGCCCTGAGCAGCTTCTCTCCAGTTTCTCTACCATACAGAAAAGCTTTTACATGCTTACTGTGTTAACTCAGCCCCTCCTTTTATACACTGTATCAGCTCCCTAAACCTTGTATCCTAGGTTTGTTTTCTATTCCCAGCTTAGTATGGTTTTTACTTTGGCCATCTTTTGATGTATGGCAATCCATGTAGTACTCTCCCCTATGCTGTTTACCGAGTGCACTGCAACTGGATTTTCTAATGCACTGTTGTTTCCAAATTCATTTATTCAAAACTTTTCTGCTACAGTATTGCTCTCAAATCCTGTATTGAGAAGATTACTCTTAGTGAGTATCTCTCTGTCAAAATATACAACAATCTCCCTTGTTTCCCCTTGTCTACTCAGCCAGTCACATTATCATACCCTAATATGTTGGTGCTACTGAAATAACTAAATTTAATTCTGTCAAAATTAATTTTTTTGTAATCCAAATGTTTACCTTCACCAATTGGCAAGGGTTGTTTAGAAACAAGGTAGACCATCTATTGCCTTCACATAATCTGAAGATATGTCTTTAACTTTTTTTTTTTTAACCACATTGTTTTGTGACCAAATTTTATAACTTTTCTTATAGTCTCTGAAAATTTTAGACTGAAAAGAAAAGCCTGAAAACAACTAAAATACATTTGTAGCTATCCATATCTCTTTATCTGGAATGAAAAAATAGAGGAAACTCCCATGTACTGCATGGTCACTACTGTTCTTGAAGTAACTGGTAATAATCTTGATGGCTTGAAGTTTTGACCCACTCCCCCTTGATCTTGGTCCACAAGATATTTTTGCTGTGATCTCACTCCAGTTCCCAAACCATCTGGTGAAGCACATATTTAGACTTGCTGTCCTTTGCCAACCCAGCATGGTCTGGGCTCATCCTCACATGCACTCAGTGACCCAGTTTATGAGATCTCACCTAGTTAGGGCATGTGTTAATCCCTGAGCGGAGGATGGGACCTGAAAGCTTCCTAGAGAGGAAGCCAAAGAAGCGTCTCCTGGGGCAGATGGTACATGGTGGCCAGGTTACATCTTCAGAGACTTTCTTGTGATTCTGTGGCTCTTTCTGAGCTGTCCACATATAGCCTCTAGTTTGACAGCTATTCTGTAGGCTGGTTACATTCTTGAAGACGTTCTTGAAATAGCTCAGAGCAGGTAATTTTGCATTCAATTCATAAATCAAGTGATAATTCACTGATTAGATAATAGTACCAGTTCTAAGAACAAACTGTCAAAAATCACTTCTCCTAATGCATACCACACAAATTAAAATGACTTTTTGTCCTTATGGTAAGGTTTCATACTCTCCATCCCATTGTTCTACCCTCATACATTAGATCATACTGGATCACTAATCCAGCAGGAATCAGTCTGCTTCTTGGCTCTTCACCTCCTGGTTTTCTGCTGAGTTAATTAGCAAATGGAATTGGCTCAAAGAAAAGATTGACAGCTTCCAGAACTGGCATAAGGTAAGCAGCAGACATGTACAGCTAAACATGAGGATCAGGACCCTGCCATTTCTTTATCAGCAAGAAAACAGATTGGCCCATCCCAATGTCACAAGTCTTAGAGCCAAAATTCGCATCATTTCAGAGCTGACTTTTGGATGCCAATGCTGATTTTGGCTACATGAAAGTAACAATAAAACGTAACTTGTTTGAAACTTGGGAAGCAATATGTCTTACCTAGCAAGCTTGAGGGCTGTTACATAAGGCTTGCTGATCTCCCAACAGAAGTAAATGAAAAACTAGAGCCTTTGATGATTTCAGAGTGTGCCAGTAAGGCAAAATTACAGGCCACCTTCCTGACAAAGGGCGGAGATCATCTCTCCAGTCAGCACTCTCCCAGTTTCACACTGTCTCTTGCATCGAGCGGTGCTTTTCCGAGCAGATGGCGGACCATTTCAGGTCACTAACCACCTGAAATTTCCGGGCTTTATGAATTCTATGGGCTTGTTAAGTAGTCACTTGAATGTAAGAGCTGCCACCGAAGCAGCCAGAGAAAGCGACAGAGGTGACAGAAAAGACAGAGGTGTCGCCATGCAGCACTAAACCGCGCGATTAACGCAGTCGGTCTCGTGAAGCTTCGCCTTTACAAAGCCAACAAGAGAGCCAGAACCACGGCCGCCGCGCAGCCGGGGCAGGGCGGGCCCCGCCGCTCCCTCAGGCGGCCGCCAGACGCACAGCGGCCGTTCCGCGGCCCCTGGCGGGGCGGTGGCGCCATGGGGGAGCGCGGCGACTCCGAAGGGCTGGAGATGGAGCTGGGGAGGGAGAGGCGGAGGCAGTGAGTGACGGGGCTGGGGCCGAAGCAGTGGTGGCCGGTGGAGAGGGGCGGGAAAATGGCGGGTGGTGCTGCCTCAGGGCTGCCTGCTGGGAGCTCCCCCAGTGCGCTCTGCATCCGTGGGGATTGAAGAGCGCTTTGGGGGCTGGGAGAGTGTGGCACTTGGTGAAAACCTGGGATTGCGGGGGGAAGTGGCGGGCCGTGGTGGGCTGTAGCAGGTCAGGGGGCTGGGCTGGTGCGAGGAGTGGGTGAATAATTCCAGCCAGAATGAAGCTGGCAGCGAACGGGCAGGGGAATGGGGACGGGAGAGGGAGCAGGTGTGGGGTAAGGACGGGTTTGTGGGACAGAAAAGGGCTTGGAGGAGTGATACCTTGTTGGTGGGGAGAAGGGAATGGGTGATGAGATGATGGCAATACACATTTCTCCCCAATGGAATAAAGCTGGAAAGCCAGATTTCGCTGTCAGTAACTATCCCTGAGACATCTTCCTAGCGTAGTTCTGCAGAGATGGCAGTGTGTGACTGCTTTGAGAGGCAAATGTTTCAGGGATCCGACTAAATAGCTTATTATTAATAGTGTTGATGTAAATGTTCCATTATGTGGAATTTCAGGGATTTTGTTTTTCTATCTTTTTTAACATCACTGCCTTTTGAATGCTAATAAACCAGAAGTTAAAATACCAGAAGCTCCTTGAGTTGCTGCCTTAATTCAGACCCTTACTTTCTATGCAGTTTTCAAACATTCAGCTCCATGTCTGTTTTTCCCCAGGACAGTGTTTATTTCAGTCTCCAGGCTGAGGGTTCTCTGCAAGCTGTTCCTGCAGTTGTACTTTATGAAATGTTTATCTGCTAGCAGGAAGGGGAAGCTGAGGTTTATCACAGAGTCAGTATGGTTGGGCATCTGTGCTCAAAACAGTGCACAAAGGAGCACGGTCATGCTTGCACCTGTGTGTGAGCAAAGGTCTTTTTAATGAATCTCCGGAGTGGTAAGTAGTGTATCAGTGTAAGACAGAAGTTATCCAAAGCAAACACCAACTCTTATTTACCAGACACACCATTTTGTTATTGGTGCTCAAATAAAAAGATGGTTGGTATCGACTTTGTTTCACTGCTGTGATTTATTATTGTTTTAACTAAGGAAAACCTGAATATTTTATGCACCTGAAGTTCTTGCTGATATTCCTGAGAATGTTCTGCAGCCATGGCCTAATGCCCAGATCACACAAAAAAGCTGTGTCTTCTGTGCTGATCAAGCAAAAAATAAACGTATTTAACAAAAGTCTCTGTTTCTATAGTGTGACAGAAACACAGTGAAAAGCCTGCAGCTCCTGGTGGATTCTGCAGCTATGTCCTATGTTTATCTTGTGCGTACAAGCAGGCAGTGCCATTATTGTGTTGTTATTTATTCAACTGTTGCCAACCGGGATTGTTAGAAATCAACATCTGAACCAGGCGCCTGTGTTGTCAGTGAATACAGAAGGCTTTAAGGTGTGATTCATCCGACCTACTTTGGTTGGCTGCTTTAGAAGGAGATGACTCACACCCTGAGAAGTTTTCTCTCCACTGGATGTAAAGAAAGCTGAGGATGACTGCTTGCAGATGGATGCATTCCTAAGTGCAGTCTCACCCATGTCATCCTTTTTCTGGCTTATTTGATTACTGTTCCACTCAGACGGTTTGGTAACAGCCCACCTACCACTCATTTAAGAGGGGATTTTTACTTCAAAGAGTAAATTGAATCATCTGTGTCAGTGAGGGGTCTTTACCTAAGTACCTGCTGATTCTCAGTGATTGTGGATGTAATATTGTGAAAGGCTTTGATGAAAGTCAGTAGCTTAACCTGACACTGAATTACTGTAATCGAGATTTAGCACAGGTTCTTTTTGGGAACTTGCATGACAAATGTTCCTAAGCTAAAGAGAAAACATAATACTGCATTATACTTCTTAATAGACAGAGGTCTTTAGGCTTTGTGTGTGTGCATGTCAGCTCACTCTGTCGATTTACTGATATCAGTAGAGTCGCATGTGAAAATTCCATGTTGAGATTTCAGCTTTTGTGGCTTTCCAGACTAAGGGAGTTTCAGGATTTGCCCAGCACACAGCTGAGTGTCAGTGCCTGGAGCTTTCAGTGCTATATATGCTCTTCCCTGTGGTGCCTTTTGTAATATATAGTATCATTTGCTTTGTTCATAGATTCTGAAGGCATCTGTATATTTTGTCTTCTACAGGAACCAGTAAAGGCCTGCCTTGTAGCAGGGCTGGAGCCCTAGAACTAATGATTTGCCTTAAGCTTCACCAGTAATGTACGCTAGTCTCTCTCCAGTAAACAAAATGGCTTCATGCAGTCTTTTGCCCATTATGTGCTCTAGATGCTGAGATCTGGATAGCAAAAGGTGCAGGAAAATGGTTTTCATCCTAAGTGGCTGTCACTTTCAAGCAAAACACCACCTGCAAACTGTCTTAAGAGGAACGTCAGAAAATTTCTGTCTGTATTTTCAATCACAGTCTTCTTATCTGTACTGCAACTTTTTTTTCGTTCACAAGAAGCTTCCTGATTTTGTTTAGTGGATGTGGATGTCATTAAATTTGATTGTTGAAAAACTTTGGGGCTTCCAGGGTTTATGGGCTTTCTTCTGTGATGACTATCAGTTGTCCAATGATACGGGAAAAGATCATGCCTGGTTATTAATAACTGTGAGGCTATTGGTAAAATCACACCAGTGTCAGTGCCCCTTTAAGTACAGCCCAGGGCTGTGGGCAAGCAGCTGCACAGAGCTGTTTTACATTCACAGTAACAGACAAGTGGTTTGGCCTGTTGTTTCCCATCACAATTAGAAATAGCTCCATAAATGCCAAGTATTCTCAATACAGTAGTAAGTTGAAGTGTTTACCAAGTTGGTCTAAGTGATTTATTTCTACACTCCTCTGTCAATACGGAGAGTGTAGTTTATTGTATATACACTGAATAAGCAGAGAGTTACTACCCTGGCTACTTTCTAGTTGCTATTGGAATACTAAATGTTTACTATTAATTAATTTTTTAATGAGAATGGTTTTCATTTCCAAATGAAAATAAGATTTTTCTCAGCAATTATGCCCTGATAGCTCACAATGTATCATTTCAGTATACATTTTAATCAGAAGGGATATAATTGGAAGTTGGTTAGCAGCTTTGCTAGCGATGCACAAAGAAGAATAAAATCTAACGTGCTGTAAGAGAAGTTATGAGTAGTCTTGAAAAGCTGAAAACACCGTGTTTGAAGGATTCATTCTTACCATCCTATTCGTCAGCACACAGAATTTTCTTTAAGAGAAATAATTAATTTCATTTGGATATAGCTCAGCTCTATTTACATCTCTGCTGGCATCCAATTCCATCTGTTATTTCCTTCCCAAAATGCCATTTTAACACTTGCCTTCATCACAATTACCTCTTTTACAAGCACTGAGAGGTTGATAGAAATCTGCTGTAAGTAAATGTGATCTATTAGTGTTGAAAATAGGCCAGTGATATAATAAGATTTTGTCTTCCTTCTTAGCTATCTGCCTCTGCCATTTGGAGTGGGAACAAATAAGCAGCAATGATTTCCTCCAATTTTCCTGGATCTAAGCTTTTTGACTCATGTGCTTCAACTGTATCTTTGGTGAGACTTTCACCACAACATTTTTTGTCTCCACTATGCTACTTGTGCTTTCATTATTTCTTTGCCTCTGTCTCCCCTCTCTAAAGTTGATAGGGAAGAACAGCATTAGAGCAAGACTAGGAGACCCAGTTATCTTTGGTTGTGGGAGATTTCTGTCTAATTGTGACTCAGCATGTTTCTTGCACTGAAAAATTACCTGAATTACCTTTTATTACTCTTCTGCTTATTTTATTTTCTTTGAACTTCTATACTGTTTCAGTTTTTCTTTCCCTCTCTCTCCCCATTCCAGGCATCTGCAATCGTGATTGATCTGCTAAACAAGCTTTCAGTTGAAACTGATGTTCCAAACTATGGAGAATAAAATTCTGCTGAGTGTGATCATGGGATGAGCAATAGATGATACTGTTCTGATGCCAGAGCCGACATCTAAAACTTTATTTCTAATAGAGCTAACTATTTCTTGAAGAACACTCCTCACGAATGTATTCAGAATGGGAAGATTTACATTGATGTGAAAGCTTCCCTTAAAAAACACACCAATAAATAGGACAAACAAGGGTTTTCTGTCTTACATGTTTTAATGAACTATACTAAGATTTAAAATACATCTCTTATTTCAAAAATGACTTACATATGTGTATTGTAGACCATATTCCAATTTATAGAGTTGTGTTCTCAATTCTTTTGAAAGATCTCAAGTTGGCCTTTGAAAAGTGGATGCATTCAAGAGCCTTGGTTGGTTTAGGAAATCTTCCAAAAAAACTCATATGAAATAATCACAAACTGCTTTTGAAATGTGTTTTGCTGCATTTTGTTTGGAGCTGAGTTGAAAATATATATTTGATTTAGTCTTTTTTTTTTTTTTTTTTTTTAATTAGATTAATGCAAAGCCATTTTATTTACTTTTCTAAATACCACAGACAAATGCTTGAAAATTCAATATCTGAATTGAGAAAAACAGTAACAGAACTGGAGAAAAAGCTTAGCGGTGTTGAAGATGAAGGTAAGTGAATTGCAACAGAGTTTTACTAACTGAATAGAAAACACAGCAAATTGTTTTTTCTTTTGGTAGAACCTACAGTGATACAAATTTTTATGTTGGAATATTAGTTTTCCCTTTCCAAAAATGACTGTTATAGATGTGAAATGTGAAAAATTAAGGGAATTCAATATGAAATGAAAGATGTGAAATTATGGAGTACTAAATGCTGCATGGCTTCTTTTTCTGTTAGCTATTAAAGATATAACGGATGACATGAATTCATAGAGATAGTCAGTTAATATTCTGGCCACAGTAAGCCCCGTGGTAAAAAGAATCCCTTGATCTATATTTTCAACCTCTTTTGTAATTCAAATGAATGCTTCCTCATTATGAGGAATACTAACTGGAGACCTTCTCAATCTCCTGAAAAAAAAAGTAAGACCTGCTTGAAAAAAAAAAAAAAAAAAAGTTGACTTCTACTTGAAATAGCAGGAAATAATCTGGGAAACAGAATAACCCAGTGTTTGTTTTTAAGGTAATGAGTGGAAAACCAGATATGAGATGCAAGTAGAATTGAACAGACGGCTGCAAAGGCAAATTATTATTCTTAAAGACAAAGTGGAGCTTATTCATGGAAATCCAACAGGTAGAAATGGGCATTCATAATTGTTTTTCAATAAAATTAGTGATTCTATGTTGAATGAAGTCAATGAGTTGCACTTTCTGCTTATTTGTAGATAAACTGGCCATTGTTCGCATCTTTGATCAAATGCCTGTGGTGAGTACAGTGGAATTTAATTGCTTAAGCTTCAAAACCACAGAAGAAATTACATTAAATTAAATTAATTGTACAATTTTTTTTTAATGTTATTGTTCCTTGACAAACAATATCGGTGATCCTGTTGAGAAACCAAAGCAAACAGTCCCACTTAGTTTTTCAATTGTTTCAGTTAGGCTATTGGTTATAAATTTATAAGACAGAACAAAATAATGAAGGGAATGGAAATAAAAGACCTAAATGTTGGGAATAATTGTAGTAGATTTTTTGACTGAGTAAAGATTCTGCAGTGAGGTCTATGAGGTGGAGTAGCTAGACTTGTGCTGTCAATAACTGAAAAAATATAAAACCTTGATCATAAAATGATGGAATCACTTAGGCTGGAAGGGATTGCTTTGTGATTTTCTAGTTCAACATTCCTGCTCAAGGCAGGCCAGGTGCAACAGGTTGCTTGGCATCGTGCCCAGTGAGATTTTGAGTATCTCCATAGATACTCAACTTCTCAACTTCTCTGGGCAAGGCATTTCTATGTTTGAACAATAAAAATGTTTAGATGGTTTAGATGGAATTTCACGTGTTTTAGATTGTGCCCGTTACCTCCTGTCCTGTCACTGGTACCTCTAAGAGTAGCCTGGCTCCCTTTTCTTCCTCCCATCCCATCAGATATTTATATACATGAGTAAGATCCCCCAACCCTTCTTTTCTCCACACTGAGCAACCCCACTCTCTCAGCCTTCCCTGCACATACCAGTGCATGGAGTTTTCCTCACCAGCAGGAAGACTTTAAATTTCTGCTTAATTGAACTTCATGAGGTTCCCCTTAGCACAGTCCTCCAGTGTATCCAGCACTACTTACAGTTTTGTAGCATACGTGACAATAAATATCAACAATTGCCAGTTGCTGTTACTTTTTGTGTAATACAGTCCCAGGAAAATTCCTCATTGTATAGTAAGTACTCAATTTTTGCAGCACAGGACAAATTGGATTTTTATATGTTTTTTTTAAGGTTGTATTACTTAATATGCTTCTATTTCACCAGCTGCATTTCAACAAAGCATAAAACAACTTCTTATGCACTTACACAAGTAGAAGTGTCTCCATCTGACTCCCATGCTTCAGATTCTGAAGATTAATGGGAGTTCACTGAGCCTGGAGGAGTCTGCATGCTGTGTTAGTGGGAATTATTACCCATTTTAAGCAGAGTGTGAATAATTGATTGCTTATTCTGATCTAATTCCTGGCTTTCAGATAGTAAATATTCTTCTTAGGTTTAGTACTGTCCTAGAATTCATGGTGTTCTCTAGATGGCTGGATATTTTTTTTTTCCAAACAGCCAATTAAAGCAATGACAGAAGAAAATCCTTCCCATCCCATTTGCCTGTTTCAGTGACTTGATTTAAAAATACAACTGGGATTATTTTTGAAAAGAAGTCTTGAGCACAGGACATCGGGCTAGAAAATTTACAGCAGTCTGCTTCAGACAAGGTTATTCCCATCAGCCTGTAAAGCACACACTGGCGTTCTCACTGACAGTATTAAAAGTGTTTATTTCCATCAAATTTCCAATGTTCTCTTAACCAATCCAATTACACCTTTGCCAGGCACCCGGAGAGCCATTACCAGTTAGATAATCTGTAAACTTTATCAGCAGTTGTGCTGCACCAATCCAGTACATTTCTAATCCCTACTAAATTCTGCTTTGCCTCCTTACCTATGAGCTGTCATTCTATGAGATTTGATTATTGTTTCTGCAAATGAAAGAATGACAGTGGAACAGTAAGATTCATTCTACCAAAAGGAGCCTAGGAAACAATTTGGAGAGTCCTACACTTACTCAGTGACACCTAGGGAAGTCTGGAGCCCGTGTGCCATGTTGTAGATTTTTATCCTGCAGTTTTTCATCCTTCCAGTTTAGTGTGAATACATTTGTCTATTATCCAAGAGTGAAAAAAAATGCTTTGAAATATAGAAAAAGCTTCATTTTGGCTTGTTTTGATTGTCAGGAGATGGAAAGAGAAAGAAAATGGATGTGTTTTGGGGACTCTGCTGTCCTTTTTTTCACTGAAGCTATCAGGAAAGTCCATGTATTTTTACAGTTACCTTTGTAGAATGCAGAGCTCCTTTTTCTTTTCAGTTTTGGCAGATGAAACATCTGTAAAAAAATGCACAGATCAGTTTGTGGTGTGTAAGCATAAAGATTTATCCAAATCATTTTTATGTTTTTGGGAATTGTTCAGAGGAGCATTGGGGAATATTTAGCTTCACTGCAGATGAGAATAAAGAACAGATGTGGTGAGTGGGTGTAGAAAAGCAGAGATCAGCCGATCATCAATCTACATTCACTCAGAGTAAAAATGCTGAGAGTGTATATATAAAAATTGTGTGTGCTTTAAATAAGAAGTACACTATGATATTTAGTTCTCAGCTTGCTGTTGCATATGAAGTGGAAAGATAGCAAGGTGATTCTTCTAGCAAGACGATACCATTTCAAGAGTATGGCAACAACAGACAGTAAGCAACATGCTTAGAAAGTGAAATAGCCTTTTAACCTATGTTCTCAAAGAAGTTAGTTACTCATTTTGAGTTATTAGAGGCACCTCTAATAATTCTTAATTTCATTACCAGTTTCAGCCATGTTTAACAGAGGAGATATCTCAAAGGCATTAAGGATATTTGTCTCACTGAGCTTGTCATTTAGGGTCTTATGTAGTCAATAGAAGGAGAAAAGCATATCCATAGAGTAATTCATCTCATTTAGAGGTAGGTAGGATAAAACATTTTCTTGATTTCAAGTGCAACAGGGAAAATAAAGATTAGTCATCAGGGACTCTGGCAGTGAGCGAGCTATAAAAAACTGAAAGAGAAGAATACAAATGCAAATTCTGAAGTGATGAAGAAGGAAGCACAAGGATTTTCAGTGTGCATAAATTGCAATAATTGTTGCAGATGGCTTGCACTGTTTTCACTTCAGAATTAGAATCTTACTGATGAATGATTCCTTGCTGTTAAAAACACCCCTAAATCATTTAAAAATACAGTTATCATTCTTGATGTATTCCTTTTATTTTATGTCACAAAATATCATGAAGGTATCACAGGACAGTAAATGTGGATCCATTACCTTCAACACACAGAATAGCCAGGATTTAGAAAACCATTTTTGTGTACTGAGGGTTGATTAAAAATAACCTAAATGGTGACAAGCACAGGGGAATTGCAACACTGAAAACTGTTCAGTCAGTAATTTCTTTTATATCCAATGAATAATACAAATGTAATACACTACTTCAGGAATAATTGCAGAAAGAATGCCTTCTCTCCAAAGCTTAACACGATGTGAATTTTGTTTACCCCTCTTAACATATTAAGCATTCATTTGTTCACATTTTGTCATTAAGTGTGTTTTGGTGAAATCCATGTTGTCTGCTGGATTCCTCTATAAGTAGGAGGAAAATGATTTTATTCTCTCTCACTGTTTCTGCTAGAGAGGATCCCTGGATAACAGCTTTAGTATGCTAATACCAAAAGCATACTACAAAATCAGTTCAGAAGAGCACACTCCTGATAGCATTGCCTTAGCAACGCTCTAGTTAAAATTAGCCAAGGAACGAAGGTTTCTGTGATAAATCACTGTTTTCAGTACTGCCCAGCACCATGGCTGAGAAAATTCTCACAATAGCAGCCAGATACTTCCTTTAAAGCACTGCCTTTGTGAGACCAGAGTGACTACGTGCAGCACTCCTAGCAGATCAACCTCAGGGTTTTTCCTGTGTGTTTTAAACCATAAGCAGAACGTGTGGCAGTGTCACACTGGAGAGGGTGTTGGCAACATAACAGGAGAGGCATCCAGTGTTTATGAAAACACAGAAGTTGTATCACAGTAGGTGTTGTTAACTGCCTATAGGGAACATCATCACTTCCTAATGGCACAGGAGACGTTGACAATTCTTTCAGCAAGTCAAATGAATCTAGTTGCTCTTGCTGGGTTACATCACCCATAGCTCTGTGACAAACAGATCTGGTATCTGGTCTTTATTGTTGAGACTGGAAGTATTTTGGAGAAAGTTTTGTAGTCTGTCTCACAACACTGAGCTGCGTCGTTCCTCCTGCCAGACTCTTTTCATCTGACTTAGGACAAGTGTTTTGGATGTCTCCAAGAGACCTTTTTGACTCGCAGTCCTTTCCTTTCTTTTTCACGTTGCCTTTAGTTGTTCCTCCTGGCAGCCTTGCACAAACCAGCAGACTGGTTTGTGGTTCTCACAAATCACGTTGTGGGTTCCCAGAGGCAGAACGCACTTTGTATTTCAAAGAAAACAATTGGGGAAAAACTTGCAGTCGACTGACATTATTAGCTGGCCGCTCTCCAGACTCCTGCCTGTTCAGGAATTTCAGGAATTGCTTAGCAATTGTTTGGGACCCTTGGATTTCTCCCAAGAAAGATTTGTAATGAATTTCAAGGCCTTTCCCAAGCCTCACAGGGGAGATACGAAGTAAAATATTTTGGATTCAACATCATCTTTTGTTTTAAATGTGAAGTACAGCAATGGAGGTCTGCGTTTTAACTTCCTCCTCCCACTTTGGCAGATGATAAAACAATGTTGTGGGCATCATTGATAGAAGGATTTTGGTAGCACTGCCCTACACCTCTTTAGCTGGAGGAACCAGAATTTTCCAACAGATCTCCAGACAAATTTCCTTACCCTGGTTCTTGACAATATGTGATGCAAACAGGACTCTTTATTCTCAAACGTTATCTGTGATTCTGTGATTCATGCATTTCAACTGTTTCAAATACAAAGAGCATGCTAACCACAAGGGGGCACTTGGCATTTAAACAAGTGCAGTGATTTTTTCTTCACCTGTACTGAAGCCTTTACAGCATCTATTGCATGCACATTGATTGCATATTTTATGTAGGGATGTGCTATGCTAGGTAATTTTTTATGTATCTTTTTCAGTAACTGCTACGAAATATGGTTAAGTGAGTTTATTGATATCA